AGCTAATATTTGTGAACCCGAAAACTCGAAACCCGAATAGATCTGAACCGAACCCGAATGGGTACCCGAACGCCCATCCCTAAATGAAACTAGAGAGCCTAGGATACTGAACCCGAAATATGATTGATATCAACACCTATGCTACAGTATGATCATTTGACTTCTTATATAAATGTGATTGATCAACGTGTAGAAGAAGTTAAACATTTACATTTTCAGATATACTGTAATGAACCATTTAAACCATCCATGACATGAGAACAAGCGATAAAAAGAACAACCCAAGTTTATATTTAGAGATCACAGAGAAAGCCCTAATTACAAACACTTCCACGAACCATGGTTACAGACACATATCCAAGTCGGCATGTGTTTCAAAAATCAACTTTTAAGACAAGTTTGGGATACAAGCTCCTCCTCCACCTTCACCACTTTGCTGCTGCTCTTTCCAGATTCTTCCAGTGACTCTCAGTTTCAGCTCTTTCCTATCTCCACCTGAGAAAAAGAGAGCCATGTTCCTCTGTATGATTAGTCCATCATGACTGTCTCTAACTTTCCTGTGACTGTCTCTTACACTTCTCGGTGTTCCTTCCCAAATCAGCTTCCGACCATAACCTCCCACTTCCAAACTGTAATTGTAGTTCCGAGCTTCTGTTTCATCCCCCATGAAACGCAGGAAGGCCATGTAAACCGGAGCCATACCGAGCTGGAATGCCTCAAAGTGGAGACAGAAGTATTGACCAAAGCAGTGAAAGACCTGATTTTGGATCAGAAACAAAACCAAAAGACAGAAACTTTGATAAGCATATGAGATGGTCATAGTATAGCAACTCCTGAACATGTGTAGAGAGATGGAAGATACACAACGATTGTCTCAAAGAGAAAGAGTTTAGCTATAGAGTTTTGAACTCAGAGCAAGTGTAGATAAAAATCATTAAGTCAAAGTTTTTACTAGAAAGCCTAATGACATAACTAAGTTTTTTTTTTCATTTTTTTGAATTGAATGTTATATTTAATTCAAAAAGAAAAAACCTTAGTACAATAATATGTGTCCTTTCCTAAACTTATGCATAAAATTTGAAACCCCAAAACGAAATTTGAAAAAACTCTCTCATCAGCCTTCATCCTACTCAAATAAACTCAAAACATAACTAAGTTTATAGATGATAATGAGGTATGAATGGACTTACAGTTAACATCCACGTGGCGTTTTCGACTTCACGAGGATTAGATTTGACATAACGATGGTTAAAAGTACAACCAGAATGCATATCAACCTTGTGATCATCCCTTAGATGAGCAACTAAGAAAGGGATATCACCCATAACAGAACACTCCGAACCAGCATAAGGACAGTTATACGGCCTGAAGTTACACACGGTCTCGTGTTTGAGCTTACTGTAATAAGGGAATATCTCAGGACATCCAAGCGACATGTACTTGCAAGGTAGCTCAAGAGACTCGGCTACTTTTTCGAGTGCAAGGCAACGGATATCACCGAGCTCTTGTCTACAAGTAGGGCAGCGATTGTGAACCCTAGTCTTACAAGTTGAACATAGAGTATGTCCATTGTGACACTGCAGGAGAATCAAAATCAGAGAAAATCAAAAAGCTTATACATATATTCAAAACCCTAAAACCAATCAATAGAGCAAAGATCCGGGAACTGAAAAGAGGGCCAATTCAGACTAAAAGAGATTTAAACAGAGTATCAAATCATAGTGTAACTGTTTTGTCCGAAAATTCGCTCAAGAGACAATCAAAAAGCTTATAGCTTTGGCAATGTTTCTCAAGAGAGCACGCAAAAAATCACTAAAACCAATCAAAAGAGCAAAGATCCGGGAATTGAAAAAGCAGGGTCAAATTCAGACAACAAGAGATTGAAACAGAGTATCAAATCATAGTGTAAGTGTTTTGTCCGAAAATTCTCCAAAGAGACAGTAAAAAAAAGCTTATAGCTTTGGAAATGTTTTCTCAAGAGAGCACACAAAAACCCTAAAACCAATCAACAGAGCAAAGATCCGGAACTGAAAAGCCAGGAAAATTCAGACAACAAGAGATTTAAACAGAGTATCAGACCATAGTTTAAGTGTTTTGTCCGAAAATTGTCTAAAGAGACAATAAAAAAAAAAGCTTATAGCTTTGGCAATGTTTCTCAAAAGGAGCACACAAAAAAACCCTAAAACCAATCAACAAAGCAAATATCCAGGCAACAAGAGATTGAAACAGACCTGATGAATAGGAGGGTACATAGAATTGGTGCAGACAGGACATTCCAGAAGCTCATGAACACTGGTTGTTGTCGGAAGAAGACCAGAAGCAGCATTCGCGTTGCTGTTATTACTATGATGCTTCGAAACCGATGCGTAGGAATGGCGATCTTGGTGGATCTCTTCATCATCTGTGACATCTATGGTTGAAGAACAGTCCATGCTATCCAAATCCATCGAAAGGTGGAAACTTTATTAATCTCCGATCGAGACGAAGATCGAATCCGGTGGATTGAAACGCCAACGAAGCAGGTCAACAACCTTCGTGAAGTGTTGATTTTGAAGAAAGAGAGATGCCTTTCTTCATTGAGAGAAGAGAGAGTTGCCGTCAAATGTACAGGCTTACGCTGATTTGAAATCGGACGGTCAGGATTACTCAGGGAGGCGTCTGTGTTGTATTTAGAGAGAATGTTATTTGGGAAACTTTGATTTATATGAGTAGAAATAATCATTTAATAATAATATCTTCTTACTCAATGATTTCTTCGTTTTTTATAATTAAATGTTAAACTATTTGTTTGATCAAAAAAAAAAAATGTTAAACTATTTGTTTGTATTTAAAATTACTCCATGATAAAAGGGGCATGGTCCAGTAAAGATGGGGCTAAAAACATGTACATGGTGCAAATGATTGCATTTATGATAAGTTTTTCTGTTTACATCCAGTAAGATTTGTGGTAAAACTTCTAATTCTCGATACTCAAAAATAACGTAAAATTGATGATTTGTAGAAGTCTACTAAATAGAACTGTTGAATGTAAAATCATCAATGTAATAATTTTAGAATTCGAAATAATATAAGAAATGAATGTTAAAAACGTAAGTTAGCCACTAAATTAAACTTCAAAGCCTCACGAACAATAATATTACTCATCTTACTTTTTACTTTTTATAAAACTTAAAAGAAATCGATCAACTTAAATAACTTTTAGACGTTAAGAATATGAACTCGAGAGATAAGACTCTAATGGAATGTCGCTTGGGTTGAAAGCCACTTAAAAGACTAATGATAATGTAAAAAGAACATTTTACTCTTCTTCATCTCAAGCAAACTCACATTTTCTTTAAGGATGAGTGAAAATTATTCCAATAATAAGTGGTCTCATGATGATAGTGATCATCCTTAAAGACACAACACATAAAGGAGAAAGCAAACAACAACGATCCAGCTTTCATGATCTGTCATTACTTTTAAACAGAACATGTCGTTGTACAATCCTCTTCCTGTTGGGATCTTGTCTGAGAAAAGAAAAAGCTCCAGAGAATCTAAGATCTGACATAAGAACTGTTTCTACACAAGTTTTGTTTCGGTAACACAGAGATCAATCATTATAGAATCTGATTATTCATGCATAACAGAATCAAATTTATGGCCTTTCAAGATCAGAGAATGACTACTAACCTACGAAGAGTTTAGTTTATGGGTTACCATTTACCACTGGTTAGCCGATGTTTCCCGGTACTTCTCATCATCATTGCCCTGAGGCATCTGCTTTGGTTTAGTACCTTTTGCCCGGTTACTAAGCAGTCTCTCTGATATTCTATCTTTAGCAGTTGTTTTCTTACGGCGTCCCAAGGAAAAGGTTTGTTTCTTGTTCTTTCTTTCAGCAAAAACTCTATCAAACTCCTCATCGATAACAGCTGATTTAGAAGTTGAGGCCATAGCAGCATCACGGAGGACTGAAAAATTATGTTCCTTAACCTTAGCATGCTTTGCCCGCTTTGCTCTTTTCCTTAACTCTTCTTTGTCTTGCTCCCTGATATTCTTCAGAGCTTGTTTCGCTATTTTCCTAGCTAATTGATTAGGATCAGAATCTGAAGTTGTTTCATCCATAGACACGTCCTCCTGGTTGATCTCTGTAGTTGAAGAGGTTTTGTTTTGACTCTCCTCTATGATTATGGGGTTTCCTTCATCATCCCTAGGTACAATGGGTCCATGAAAGGGGCAGGCTCGTAGGTCTCTTCTCTGGCAAAGAGCACCTTTCTTCAGAGGAGCATGGCATGGAGGTATCTCTGTTCTCTCTTCTCTATAAACACTTGCCTGAAGATTCAGTTCTGCTATTTTATCTGCTGGAATCACAGCATCTTGATCCACCCTGCCCCAGTGGCTTTCTAGCTCTAAGCCTCGGTGGTTAGCTCGAACTTCCGTAGTTGAGTCCCAGCTACTCAACTGTGATCCCCAATTCATAATAGGCGCTTCAGAAATTAGCTTATCTCTAAGAGGGTCACCACTTCTTCTAACCATTTTAGTGCTCGGCGCTTTGTTTGAGGTAGATTCTAATGTAGACCTATTTGCTGCACTTGGTGATTGTAAGGACGAACCCTCACCGTTCTGAACTCTCGCCAAAGGAGCCACGTTTTTGACTGGATCAGTTCCCACCTTGCCATCATCGTCCTCCCAGATATCTTCATCTTCATCTTCTTCTTTCTCCGGAGTGTCAATTATTCTTGAGATTACAAAACCAGCTTCCTCACATTTCTTCTCAGTTGCTAATATGTCATTCCTAATATCAATCAACTCTTTCAACATGGAATCTCTGGTCCTGTTATCACTTACATCAACCTTGATGAGAAGAGAGATCCCTTCTTGAACCGATACCAAATGCTTCTTCATCAGAAGCTTCCCCTGTTCCCTCAACACATCAAACACCACTCTATTTTCACTAGTCTCCTCAACCTTATCCGACTGCTTCAACGAATCCATACGAATCTGCCTCAGATGAGAACAACGAATCTCCTCATAATCTTCCTCATCCAAAATCGCAAGTGGAACACCGTCATCCCCTCTCCACTGAACAATCTCCAAACCCTCCTTGATCTCCTTTACCGTCTCCTCAATCTCACCTTTCAAGACTCCAAACCCATCTCTCAAAGACTCAAACTTGCTTCTCAAAATCTCCTTAGTCTTCATCTCTCTCTCAAGCCTCTCTCTCTGTCTCCGTGCAGCGTTTGCCTGTAAATCAGGGAACTTGAGCTTGAGGGTGTTCTTAAGGTGATCAAAACCAAGCCTAATCTCCTTGTAGTGTAACCCAAACGACAAATTCCACTTCTCCAAGAACTCAATAGCTTTTGTACGCAAGACTGTGGCAACAGCTGGTGGCGCAGGAAGAGGTAGGCTGGTTCTAAACCCAACGCTTAGACTCAAGAGGTTATCAAACTTCTCAACTATTAGTGTTCTAAAGAGCTTTGATCTCATGAAAAGCTCGTCGATGATGAGAAGCGTTAATAATCGAACCTGCCAGATAAACTCTGATCAGAACATCAATGTGAAGAAAAAAGTTCAAATCTTTTTGCAGAATTAGACAATTTCAAACGAGTCCGGATGTAAAAGAATGAAACCTGAGAGTGTTTATGTTTCATGAGCTCCATTAGGGTTTTGGCAGCGACTCGGACCTCCGAATCGGAATAACGAAGAGTTGATTTGATCGCCTTGAGGAGCCTGGGGTCAACCTCTTGCGCGGATGATTTGGTAGCTTTCTCTATCAACCCAATCACTTTTCCTCCGCCGTCGTCTCTTACTTCCATCTCCGGAGATCGAAAATTCACAATTCTCCTTTCTCTAGTTTCTGAATAGGGACGAAGAGAAGAAAAAAAACCTAAAAGATGAATATTCCGATTTGTGTTGGTTTAATATTTGTTTCCTCTGTGCGAGTCGGTTTACTTGGTTGAGAATTGACTTATTTGCCCCTCGTTTCCAATTTGTTGGTTTAATTTATCTGTTTTTTATTGGGATAGTCGGTTTACTTGGTTCTCCCATTCAACGAAATCACGTATTTATCCCCAAGTTTAAAAACTCCGTGCACCAGACTTGAAGGGTGTCTATGTAATTTACGTTAAAGGTCGTTTATATAGTTAGTCAGTTACAGATATTCCCACCAAAATCATCACTAAACCCAGTCTGAGAAAACGAAAAACAGAGAGACTATTCTTGATGATGATGAAGACGCCGACGCAATACACTTTCTGGATTCTCTTCCTCCTGTTCACCTCAATGGATTCTTCCTCCGAGATTCCATCTCTTGGAGGTAAAAAAATCTGGTGATTCTATTATGATTTCCCGAGGAAATCGAATCAAACAATGTTCAGTTTCCATGTTCATCCTCTTTCTCTCATTTTCCTTCACTTTCTCGATTCTTTTTCCAGGTCCAGGAATCGGAACCAACTACGGACAATACAGCTCAAATCTCGGAGGTAATCTTTACATTCTTTTACGAATCGCGAGAAAACTGATAGATAATTCTTCTACTAAGCTTTTTCGCTTGTTTCTTGATCGTTTTCCAATGACTTTTCCTGGAAAATTCGATAGAAAGATCTTCTGTTACACTCTAAGTGAGTTTCTTGATCGTCTTTTTCACGCTTCTTTAAATCCAGCTCCAGAGATCGGAATCAACTACGGCCGTTACGGCACAAACCTCCCACCACCAGAAACAATCCCATCCCTCGTAACCTCCCTCTCCCTCAAACACGTCAAAACCTTCGACATGGATCCAAGAATCACAACCTCCTTCGCCAACACAGGCATCTCCCTCTCCCTCTGCATCCCCAACAAAAACATCCCTCTCCTCTCCACCAACCTCTCCGAAGCCGACTCACTCATCCGAACCTCCATCTTACCCTACCACAAATCCACCATCATCACCTCCATCTCCGTCGGCAACGAAGTCTCCCTCCTCCCTCAATTCTCACCGCACTTACTCCCCGCCATCGTCAACGTCCACCGAGCCATCAAACGCTACAGACTCCACAAGAAGATCAAAGTCACAACCACTCACTCCCTCGCCATCCTCTCGCGCCGTTTCCCTCCCTCCACCGCGAGGTTTCATGGATCGTTCGGTGAGACGGTGATGAGACCGCTTGTGAGGTTTTTGCTGAGGACGAAGGCTCCTCTCATGGTGAATGTCTACCCTTACTTGGCGTACAAGCAATCTTTCCCTTCGATTCCGTTAGACTTCGCTCTGTTTCAGAACGGGTCTAATAATAAGCGGAGGATGTACAGAGATCCGTACAGTGGAGTCGCGTATACTAACTTGTTCGATATAATGATGGACTCGGTGGACTCTGCTGTGAAGGCTCTGGGGTTGCCGAAGGTTCCGGTGGTTGTTTCGGAGATTGGTTGGCCGTCGAGTGGGGATCGTGGTGAAGTGGCGGCTAGTTTGGAGAACGCTAGGGTTTTTAATCAGCGGTTGGTTGAGCATTTGAGGAGAAGGGAGAGGAAGGTTACTGTGTATCTCTTTGCTTTGTTTGATGAGGATCAGAAGACTGGTGCTACTGTGGAGAAGCATTGGGGGTTGCTGTATGGTAATGGGTCGAGGAAATATGATCTGAATATAGTTTGAGTTGTCGTAAAAGGAGAAGATTGTTTTGTATATGGGCCTATTGTTTTGTTATGGGCCGTATATCAACATATTAGTCAATCGGGCTTTTTGTAAATCATAAACTGAGATAAAATTAGGAAATAAATACATAAATGGAGTTGTTTGGACTCGTTTATTCTCTTCGTTTGGCCGATATGTCACGTGCAGATATGACATAGATTCGATTGTACTAGTGTACTACTATGTCGAGTCATTTTCTTATATCTAACAAGACATTTGTCTCGGAATAAATTGGAAATGGAGATTGTCATCATGTTACGGACAGTTGTCGTCCATTTAAAATTATCTGACAGTATCGATATTTTAATATTCATGAAAATTTTTGAAGTGCAAGTGATCATATCTCCACTATAAGCGCAAGTGAGTGAGAGGAGATATTTGCGGAGGAAAGAGTGGGAAAAGAGTGAGTAGTGGGTATGAAACTGGTGGCGCGTTCGGTGGCTGCATTATTTTGACCCACTTTGTCTCTGGATCGTCATGGACGAAGATTTTTAAATCTCATTTTCTGATTATTAATCATTATTATTGATTTCTTTACTTCTGAGGAAAATGTTTTTTTGCCAAAATATACAATGCTTCTTACACATAAGACCAAAGAACTGCCACAATCTATCTACACTCTCTCACTCACATGGAGAGAAAACAACAAGAGTCTTTGTCCACCCTATGTTAACGATACGACGTGTCATGTACGATGCATATCTACCATAGAAAAATATCGAGATACACCGGACCCTGCTGATGCTATATATATGTATAATGCATTGCGTTTGAGTACTAAGCAAAAAGGATGAATCACGTAGAAACATTAACAAATATAGCTAGTAGTTATCCAAATAAGTCGTGTCTAGTTGTGAAAGCAAGACTGTGAAGAAGATTCACGTGAAACTAATTAGTTTTAATAAACCTAGTGGTCACATGTATGAAATTATGTAAGTTGAAAGTATTAAGAATTCGGGTGAGCTAGTCTAGTGGTTGACAATTGAGGTAAGCTTCTAAGTGGTGGTGCGGATAACTTTTATAAAGAGACTTTACATGTTTTTGGATTCATTGCAGTGCAAATAAATGGTGCTGTAGATAACTTTTATAAGGAGACTTTACATGTTTTTGGATTAATTGCAGTGTTGAGGCAAGCTTCTGAATGGTGGTGCCGATAACTTTTATAAAGTTAAGAGGCTTTACATGTTTTGGGATTAATTGCAGTGTCTCAACTCTCAATATATGACCAAGTGCTATACAGTAAGTTAGAAAATTTCAAGATGTTTTAATTTGTCAAAAGATGTACAAGACTTTGATGGTAATAATAGAAATTTCAAGAAAACATTACACTTAAGATTTACTTCTCTTTGCTTTAATTTAATGTAAAACACACATTTAAATCAAATCATCCGGTAATTTCTCCTCCACTCATGTCACAGATTCAGGTAAACAATGGTCCATCATGAAATCATCATTAATGATTGGTGAATAAGTAATGGAGATGATGTCGTGGAGATGACAAATAAGGATAAATAGCTTATTTTATAAATTGTTCTTTGTGAATAATATATCAGTCAACTCAGACACAAAACCTAACAAGCTCCAGACATAAACCCGACCCGTGACCCGACTAAGTCGTAAGCCACACGCAAACCCTGTTGCTGTATGTTCCCAATTATCGACAAACTCCCCATTGTTCCGGCGAAAGCAAAACAGAACCGTCCTTGACTGTTCACCGGAATAAGATAATTACTCGCCGGAAGCGAAACATCTCCTCCGCCAAAATGAAACACCACCGTCGGAACATTCACCGTCTTCATCCCAGAGAGATCGAAACACGTGTCGAACAGAGAATACGACGGAGCACGTTTCAACCTCGTCGCTCCGAGAAGAAACGCATTTCTAAACGCCACGTAAGCTCGTTGAGTCAGCCGAGTAACCGAAGTACCGGAATCTATAATAACGCCGCCGTTACCGGTGGTGTCAAGCTTAAACAGCGACTCGGAAACGCCGCTAACGCGAGAACCACCAACGCTGATTCCAAGAAGCTGAAGATAGTAAAACGTGTCGACCTTCGGGTTTGTTAATAACGGCGTGAAAACAGAGGTTCTTGGAACGGCGTCGTTTCCGAAGATAATAGTTGACGGTGGTTTGGAAGCAGAACCGGGACTCGTACGGTCAACCAAACAGTAAGAGAATTTACCGTTATAACGTTTTTTCGTCTGAGATGGAAAAGATAATCCTCCGCGGCCCAGGCCCAACAGCCCAGCCGCGCCAACGAACAAACCTTCGTTATCGTGACCGCATCCTAACGCCACGTGATCGACACGTGCGCCGTGAAACGTCAGCGTTTCGGTGGAGAAATCTCCCATGGTGAAAGATCCGTCACCGTAGGAGACTTGGTAGAGACACGTCTTGCTTCTACGGCTGACACATTCCGAAGACGACTCTTCTAGTCTCCGACAGAGAGTGGACCCACATGGGACTGTGGCAAATGTCTTTGACTTAGCCGGGTCGAACATCGGGTCGGACTGGTTGTAACATACTTTGCATGGAGAGCATTGTAGCCAAACGACGTCGCTTCCTGTGTCGAGGACCATGTAAACGTTACTCGCCGGAGTTCCAACGCCTAACCTCAAGAAATACTCGCCGCTTCCTTGTGAAAGACCGGAGATAACAGCGCCGCTGATCCCACCGGGTGAGCGTGGAGTTCTTCTTCTCGTAGTGTTCTTGCCGGTGGATGCGGCGGCGAGGTTGGTCAGGGACTTGACGCGGAGAGAGTCTCTTTGTAGACGGAGGTTGAAGAGCTCTGAGGGAGATGCGTCGGAGAAGGAAGAGAGAGCATCGACGTGGGATAGATGGACGGTGAGTGAAGTTGTGGTGGAGTCGGATACAGAGGTCAAGGATTCGGGCTCGGGAGATGAGAAGATTTGGGAGGAGGAAGGGAGAGTGTTGACGACGAGTGTGTTGTATTGAGAAGAGGAAGAGGCGGAGGAGAAAGATAAAAAGAGAATAGCCGCCGAGAAGATGACGGTGTTTGGGACGTTTTGTCCCATCGTGAATAAAAAAGAGTAAAGGTTGTATGTAATGTCAAGTGTGACTTTGAAATGTAGAAGATAGATGGCAAAATATATAAAGGCAAATGATACTCGTGTGTGAACGTGAAAGCTTTACTTTACTTTAATTATTATTGTCCCACTTTTTTTATTCTTCTTTGATTTTTGTTTTTGTAGAGCAGCTTCTTTCTCTTTTTACTGTTGAGTCACAGACACCAACATGTTCAACATAATGTTAGATCGATCTGGAAGATAACACCGTGAAATCTCTGGGATCACCGAAGGTTCCGGTGCTTGTATCTGATATTGGGTAGAGTCTCCACCGTGAAAGGAGTGGAATAGTGGATATTTAACTGGTGGCTAGTTCAGTGGGTGCAAATACTCTTATTTTTACCATATCTGTCCATGTGCCGCACTTTGTCTGTATATATCTCATATCGCCATCGATGTTTTTTTTTTCTCCATCGATGATGTTTTTTTCTTTTCTGATTATTAATCAGTTCTTAGTTACTAATTATTATTTTTTTGTTCAAAAATTTTGTTTACTAATTAATTATTTTGTTTCAGTTCCCAAAATAAACATTGCTTCTTCATACACGCAAGACCAATAATGTACATCTAAAGTCTACAGTCTCTCACATGACTCACATGGAGAGAAAGCAACAAAAGTGTATGTTCCCCCTATATTAACGATAAGTCGTGTCGTTTACGATGTATGTTTCTATTTACATCCATATAAAATAAAAAAAATAAAAAAATAAAAAGAAAAAGAAAATACATCCATATCAAATGCACCGTACCGAGACTATATATCTATAATGTATTGTATGTGATTACAAAAAATGTTAAATTACAGAAAATACATAAAAATAGCTCCTAGTATTCCAAGTAAGTTTTATCTGGTGGTAAATCACGATTGTGTTAATGTTCAAAAAAAAAAAAAAAAAATCACGATTGTGAAGACGATGCATGGAATTTAGTTTTGAAACTAACTAATACTAAAATAACTACTGGTCCATATATGAAACTAGGTAAGTGAGATGAATCATGTATATCAGGAACTCGGGTGAGCTAGTTTAGTAACTAATCACATGTTTATACAGGTTTAGTGGAAGACAATTATAGGTAAACTTCTAAATGATAAGTGCAGATTTTAGTAACAGTGTATACAGGTTTTTGATAAATGGTGGAACCTCATTCGTCTTTTTTCTTTTTTTAAATTTGTTACTGTTTTGATACGTTTTATTGATAACTAATCACATGTTTATCGCCTATATATGGGCTTAAGCCCAGCTAAACTATCGTGAGGAGCTCTTAACCATTTCAAAACCCATAAGAAAAAAGACATAGGTTGCTCACCACCATGGATCGCAAATCGATGTTCTATATCTAGATAGATCACTTTTTAGAAACTCATCTCAAATTCCCATCCAAAAGAGGGTGAGTCATGATGGTGCATCTTGATATATAGACATATCTAGTTCAGTCCAAAATAATAAATTACAGAAACAATTTTTTAAAAATCAAAATATTATTTTCAAACAAAAATTCACAATATTTTGCAAATACATTTTTTTGTCAAAATCGAAAAATATATTTTCTTGCCAGAACCACAAAAATATTTTGTAAACCAAAATCGTAAAAATGTATTTTTCCCTAAAAACATAGTTCCATAAAAATGCAATTTTTTGGCTAAACTCATAAAACTGCACTTATCGACAAAAACGTAAAAATAATTTTTTTTGTCAAAATCTTAAAAATAGACTTTCTCACAAAAATAGTTAAAATGCACTTTTTCACCAAAATCGCAAAACACACATAAAGCGAAAAACATATTTTCTACCAAAACGTATTTTTGTGCTAAAATCGCAAAACACATTTTTCCCGTCATAATTCTAAAAACGCATTTATGCCAAAATACAATTTCCAGCTAAAACCATGAAAATATTTCCGCATAGCAAAACGCACATTTTTGTCAAAAACACATATCCACCAAAACTGCAAAAAAGCATTTTCGCGCCAAAAGCAAAAGAAAAAAATCATTTTCCACCAAAACCGCAAAAAATGATTTTTGTTAAAAACACATTTTTTTGTCAAAACCGCAAAAAACGTATTTTCCCATTAAAACCATTACAAAAATATTTTATCACCAAACTATGAAAACACACTTTTTCATCAAAAACATGGGTTTCCACCAAAATCACAAAAAATATTTTATGCCAAAACCACAAAAATGCATCTTTTAGCCAAACTCGTAAAATGCACTTTTTCTCCAAAACAATTTTCCGTCAAAACCACAAAAATGTACTTTTCGGCCAAAGTCGTAAAAGCACACTTTTCCGCCAAAACTGTAAAAAAGCACTTTCCGTTAAAATGAAAACGCACTTTCCCATAAAAAATTTTAAAACGCAATATTCCACAACCGTAAAATGCAGTTTTCAGTCAAAAATTCTGAAAATGCAGCTTTCCGCCAAAAATGTAAAAATATATTTTTCAGCTAAAATTATAAAAATGCATTTTTCGCCAAAATCGTAAACGGTATTTTCCTACCAAAATATATAAACACAAATATATTTTAGTCTTTTTATTAATAAATTTATCTGGATGGAGATGTATGTTAAAAAAAATAAGAAGCATAGACAAAATATATAAACGAACAACACCCAGATGGAACATGTGGATAAAACATACAAATGAACAGTGCCATTGTGGTAAGTAAGCTCGGTGAGTTTGTACTCAATAGTAGAAACAATAGTTTTTATATATTTGAACGATGAGGTTAAGAAAATGACAAGGAAAATGAAGAGTTCTTCGTCGTTAGAGAATGAAGAAAGCATGGATTAGCAATCGTCTTGATGGAGTGATCAACGTCACTAGCTGTGAGAGTTCAGCTGTTACCCGGCGACCTGGTCGTAATGGTCTCTATAGACTCATGATTTTTCAATCTGTGTATATATAGTCTTTCATGTGTCTTTGACTTTAAGCAATATGGCTGATGGGTCGGTTCGCTGTTTATGTATTAACTTCCATTTTTTTCAAAACCAAGTAAGCCAATATAGACCGGCCTATTGTAGCCCAAAAGACACAAAGTACATAAGTTTATAGTTGTGGTTGTGGATTTGAGGTGAATTTATTCTGACTAATCTTCCTCAACAAACGATTATGGTTTGACTTTCAGATTTTAAGATATTATACACTTGTAATGTCAACAATACCTAGTAGTTGGGTTAGATCATGAATAATAACTACCTACGTTTATTTAAGAATACATTTGTCATCTTCATCCTAGAACGATCATAAGCAGCAACAAGAAAGTTGTGATTATGAGTACCGAGATACAGGAAGACGATGAGGAAGAGGAGATGATATTAACATCCAAACTTCAACTTGTCTCGGCGGCGAAATCTAGAAAACTACAGTACATATCATCACCAGTGATAAGTCATCACGTGTCACTATCACTCTTGTCTTCCCCTGATGATTTATCACACTCTCGTGCTTCGGTTCCTTTCTCTTGGGAAGAAGAACCTGGCAAGCCTAAACACCATACTCTTCTTCTTCGAGGAGCTCCTCATGATTGCCCCAAGCGTCTTCATTTGCCTCCGAGACTGCTCCTTCCTGATGAAGTTACGAAAATGCATCTGGCTTCGGATCATCCTCATCATCTAGCCGCCGCGTTGAAACGGTGGTTCCGGTGGAAGAAAGATAGAGCTGATGATGATGACGTGACCGGAAAGTGTAGTTTTGCACTTTCAGCTGACAATGGAGATGATAAGAAGATCAAAAGGACAGCAAGTAGCCTCCATTGTCTCTCTGACGTCGCTAGGTGTTACTTATGGGTAAAGTAACCTTTAATATCTTTCTATTTTATGTCTGTAAATGTTGCCCTGTCTTGTCATGAAAATATAGAGATATGTCACATATATATCCATGTTTGTATCTTCTTTGGTTTTGCAGGAAATTCCATGGAAGAAGAATAAGCTGAAAAGAGATGATGTTTTCATAAATTGTCACTAGACTACCATTACTATAGTGAATTAGTGATACTTGTGTGGTGGACCAAGTACTTATCTGTGTTTTATTGGTACTGGACCAATAAAACCAACTATCGGATTTCGAAGTTCACTTTTCAATGATCGAGCTGGATTGGAATGCATGGTTGCTCAATAGATTTACCACATGTTGCGTTAAAGTGTTGTGGGGGCACAAAGAATGGCATAATAATGCATAATTAGTGGCTAAGATGTGATTCTTCCTGATGCGATCAAAATATCATCATTGCATCAAAGCGGTCCAATAAATTACTTTTTTTTTATAGTTTCCAAGTTCGGTGGCTACGATTTTTAAATCATTTTTTCTATTCAATGTGATCATCTGAATGTTAAGCTGGTTATTATTACTTCCAAAAACACTAGGGCAGTAAAAAGAACTAGACAAAAACTGAATTATGAACAAGAAAATTGAATATATTACCAATGTAATAACAAGTTCTTCTTAAGCCCATTATATGAATGGGCTGAATATTATAATGGGCCGGAAGATATCAAAATAGCTAGCATCCACAAAACGACACAATATATTGAGAGAAGACATTATTGTGTGGGAGAGGGTGTTTGGGTAGTTATGACATGTGTCATGCTCAGCAAAGACAGGGTTTAATCAAAGAAACAGTCCCTATAAAAAGCTAAATAATTCAATCACGCCCCAAAACTGGCCCCACCCAATTCCTTTTGTCGCTTCCTGTCGGTCCTTCCGTAATTCCTCTCCAACCCTCATCTTCTGAATTATATGCATAGATAACAAACATTATTTTCCAAAAAAATAAAATAACCAAGTTTTTTTTGGTTTTAACTTATGTAACCAATGTGTTTTCTGTTAAGCTATTTAACCAAACTATTACTTATCTTCTACGATTAACTTTTCTTTTTGAAAGAAATTTGTTGTCTCAATATGAAAACGACTACATTGTGATGCCAATTATAAATGGTATGATCGAATCAATTCCGCATACTACAGAAATCTGTAATTTTATTAATTTTGTAAAAGAAATCGCACGTTGGATAGTTACGTCTTATTAACACGTGATTTAATATTTTTAGAATGCTTATTTATCAACGCAAAAGCTAGCTGTGTAACATTATAACTCGTGCATTGCTTTTCTTTAGACAAAGGGTTTTCTATATCTCGTGCAGTGTTGTCTGTTTGAAAAGTTTTTTTTTCAGTTTATGTGCTTTTTACAAAACCTTTATTATAATTATCTGATTAACGCGACGTTTGTTATTGCTTTACCGATCTGAGAATAAAACCATAATAACTTTATATAGCCATGTGTGGTGTAATATATTATGGTCCTTTTACGAAAAGCAGATCACGATTGAAATAAAGGTTGAAAATTTCGTGTCCCTTTATTCCTCGAAATAACATAACAAGATAACATAAAGTATCACGTTCGTAGAATAATTAATCCATACTCCCTAATGACATTCAACATGTATATAATCTATACTATATAAAAGTTGAGGCTATAAGCCATTGAGGACGTCCACGTAGGATTTAAGTCCTCCAATCGTATAATGACACATCATTATATTAGTTTATTATTTTTATAAAATGTCATTGTTTCCAAATTATATTAAAAACGAAATTAATATTCCATATATAACTTAGCTAACAAAATAAATATTAACATTTTA